TCCTTCCTTCCTTCCTTCCTTCCTTCCTTCCTTCCTTCCTTCCTTCCTTCCTTCGGCTGGCCGCAAACTCACTAGGTAGTTAAGGATGACTTTGAAGTCTTCCTCATCTTACCCATGACTCCATATCCAGCTTCTATGGTGCTAGGGAGTTTATCTAGACAAGCTCTGTCACCTGACATGGACCCCAGCCTTGAAACCTTTTCTTAGTACTTTTTTTGGCTACTTTAGTCTTTGCAGCTTGGTTTATAGTATATTAATTACTGCAGTGGATTGCCACTCTTAGGAAGCTGTCCTATTCTGAACATTTGCTCTTTTTTCTTCCAGTCCTTACCTGCTTAGAAGGAGACCTTGGTTACCTTCATTTGTTAGTTGACAGACTTGTTTTTCAGTCATGTGTCCTAAGGCTCTTTTTGTTTTCTGAAACGCACTAAATGACTACATAAAGTCTTCTTGCAACCAAAACACAAATAAATACGCTGACTTCTTTTGAGCTCTCCAAAGAAATAAGTTCTTACTGTGCCCAAACAGGACCTTTCTGTAAAGTCATCATTTAAGAACCCAAGAGCAAAAAAATATTCATGTGTATTTCATTCAGCATTTCCCAAGAAGAAACTTATTTCTGTGGTTGATTTTTGGCAAGCTTCCTTTACTTCAAGCAATGAAAAACCCTTTTGCTGTGTGTAATCCATAGCCTGTGGGCATGAAGGACTGATTTTGCAATACCCTCTTAGCACTAGGAAATTTTAACTGAAAGTTTCATATGCTGAAATACTCAGAATAAATATTGTTTCAAAAGGAAGCAAGACAGCCAGTTTAAATGGGATTTTTTTTTCTTTTGGTGGGTGTTGTCCTTTGGCTAGATTTTGGGTGGGTCATATAAAAAATGAACTTCTCTGTGATTTTGGCTCTGTCCTTCTGTCTCCTGTCATCTGGGAGGAGGATGCCGCCAGCTTAGGGCGACAACCCAAGGTGTTTATGCTCTGTTTGGGTATGTGTTACTAGGTACCCACTCTTGGCTGTGATTTCTACAGCCTGGGTGATTTTACCTCAGCATTGGAGTGAGCAGGAATGCAACAACAGGGCATCGATATGGGAGCTAGGTTGATAAGGTTAACATAAACTGAGGATCAGAAAAAAAAAGAAAAGCAGTTTTGCTCTGATTCGGAGGTAGCAAAAGGCGGCAAGGCAGGGTAGGGCATTTCCTTCTTAGGCCTTTGGCATTTTTCACCATATTTTGCCAGTTCTAAATCATCTTAACAGGAAGCATATCCTCCCTGAAGAAAAAAAAAATGCATAGGAAGGAAAAACTTACTAGGGGCTGGACAGATCTGCATGGCTGTATCAGCTCCATTTGGAGCTGTGACTAGCTTGCTTCCTGCTGGCCCTCTGGGTCAGAGGACCAAAGACTGTCTTCAGGTTTCTGTGTGTGGTCTCTCTGCAGAACTAGACAGTAGGTAGTGAACTTAGGAGAGCTCGTGTTTAAAGGCACAGCATTTAGCTCTGGATTCCAGACAAAATCTTCTCAGTCTTTGCCAGACCCCCCATCTTAAAGACAAGTTCCATAAACTCTAATTCCTATGAATCTCTTAGAAGGACAAGGGAAATTATAGTCTGCTAACCATAAAGCTTGAAACATTGTTTCCTGTTTCTGGTAACCTGTGAAGTTGTTTGTGGTGTTATTATGCTCAAGTTGTTTTTTTTTTTCCCTAGAGTTTCATACAATGTTTTAACCATATTCACTAACCTGCTCCATCTCCTTCCAGATCTAACCTCTCCTCCTTACCCACCAAATTTCCTGTGCTCTTTCTCTCTCCCTTTCTAGCCCATGAAGTCCAATTTGTACAGACCAAGTATACTTGAGTGTGGAGCCTACGAGCCTGATCCACCTACCAGAGGTCATGCCCTTAAAGAAAACTGATTCTCTCTTTCCCAGAAACTGCCACTTGCCAACATTTTGGGCCTTTTGAAAAAGTCAATTATTTTCAAAACCACTGTGAACTTAAATTTTCTCATCCTAAAGACAGGGGGGAGAAAAGACCAGGCATTGTGGTACGGTGTTATACCTAGCACTTGGGAGATAGAGTCAGGCAGATCTCTGTGAGTTCCAAGCTAGCCTGCAAGTGACATATAGTGAGACTTTGTTAAAAACAAATGAACAACAAGAACAAAACACAGCAGAGAGAGAGAGAAAGAGAGAGAGAAAATACTCAGGAAATAACAGTATAAATGCACTATGTTTTGGAAACAAAATTTTAAGGTAGCAAATATTATCAATTTATAATATTCATATTATATATATAATATAATTGATAAATACAGCTTTCTATTACAAACTTGCCACATTTGTAGTAGCCAGAACTTAGCGTGTGGCTAGAAAATCTTTCAGGAGTGGTTGTGTTTGTTATTATTATTATGGTTTGATTTGTAGTAATATCTCATATTGGTTTCTCTCCCTTCTGCCTATGGGCCCCTCTCTTCTCCTAAGCAGTATTCCACCGAATTGAAGAAGCTGTACTGCCAAATTGCAAAGACATGCCCCATCCAGATCAAGGTGATGACCCCACCCCCACAGGGCGCTGTCATCCGTGCCATGCCTGTCTACAAGAAAGCTGAGCATGTCACTGAGGTTGTGAAACGGTGCCCTAACCATGAGCTGAGCCGCGAGTTCAATGAGGGTAAGAACAGTGGGATTCTGGGATTCTATTACTGTCCCATCAAACTCCTTGATGGTAAAGATGGTGGTTCTGATTCCAGACTAAGAATAATAGTAAATAAATTCATGGCTTTCCCAGTCACTGAACTACTTATGAATTTACTCTTCCAAATGAGAGGTTATAAGCAGAATAGCACTGTAGTCATACTGTGGCTATCGTATGCTTTGAATTGGGTGCCTTTCAAATTTAGAGGAATTGAAGGCTGCGAAGACCAAAAGAAGGAACATAAGAGAACTAATGTAATGAACAAATAGAAAAGTGAGAAGAGAAAGGAGAATAAAAATTGAGAAGGCAAACAATCGGTAAGAGGAATAAAAAGGTACAGAGCAAATGGATAATGAAAACAACAACAACAAAAAAAAAAACGAGTTATCCACAAGGAGTCTTTGGGACTCCTTTTAAGTCCTGTGTCCTTGTGTAATCTATACCTCTATTCTGAGTCCTGCATCCAACAACAGTATTATAGAAGAAGTGAGTGTTCTCAAGGGTTCACATGGATTTGGCATTATGGTTTCATAAAGGTAAAGCAAAAAGTACCAGAAGATAGAAAGGGTTCAGGGTTAGAACACTTCATTGAGAATACTGCAAGAGTAAATGTTGGGAGGTAGTTGGAATATATGAATATAGGGCATGGAAGAGTTTGCATGAAAATTTCATGGAGAAAGAAGGAGGATGGATAAAGACTTGGAACACAGTTGAACACTTCAAACTGATTCACACATTAATTTTTAGTTTTGCCTACATGGCTACATTATCCACATTTCTGTGTCTTGCTTTGTGCTTCATATATAACATGAAAAAAATGTCCCATATATACAGGATTCATCCTCAGTTTGCCTAAACATCTGTATTCCATCAAAATGACAATATTTTGAAGGTTTTCTTAATTTTTCACACAATGTTGTTCTAATCAAAATAAATAGTGCTGCAGAGACTATGTTGATATTCTTAGCTTTTTACTTTTATTGAATAGTTTTCATACTGGAACTTCATAGCCAAAGGGTAAAAACAGCTTTATGATCCCTAAGTCTCAGAATACTTTCTTTTGGAGTGTTGCCAAACATCGCAATTTTATGACTGTGCCTGGGATTTTTGTAAAATCGGCTCCCTTTTCTTGACTCCAACCAGTGACTCTTCCAACATAGTAAAGCCAGAAAGCCAGAGAGGTTCTTATCTTTAAAACTAAATCTAGATCTAAAGATGGATAGGAGAGAGAAAATTCAAAAAGGAGCTCAGGCTCACCACCTTCTGGTATTCAGTTTGTCTTTTCTTCAGTGCTAGGGCTTGAATTCAGGGCCTTGACTGTGGTAGGCATGTGTGCTATCACTGAGCCCCATGCGCAGACATTTTCCTCTATTTCTCATTTAGTTGTTTTGCCGGTCAAAGTCTTAGACTGTGCTTTCTTGTTTGCTTGTTTTCCGTTGCACAAGGAGACTAGGAAAGTTCTATGCAGTGGAGGAAGTCAGTGACATGGCATTGAGTTGCGTGAAAGCTTGGATGCTTTTATCCTTGAGCTGCAGAGCCTAGAACCGTCCCCCAGTCACTGATCATCATAAAGCTCTTTGTGTCCATGTGAAATGTCAGACACTGGTAGCAAGGTCTGTCCTTTTCTCAAGAATGAATGTTTCCTTTAAGGCACGGATGGTTTCTTAGGCCACTGTCATTCTTTCCATGCCATTTTATGTCATAGTCTTTATGATGAGGGTGAATAAACTATTTCGTCTTTTTTCTGACCCACAGGACAGATTGCTCCTCCTAGTCATTTGATTCGAGTAGAAGGAAACAGCCATGCCCAGTATGTAGAAGACCCTATCACGGGAAGGCAGAGTGTGCTGGTCCCTTATGAGCCACCACAGGTAAGCAAACAGGGCAGAGGTAGACCTGCAGCTGGGCTAGCAGGCCAGTGGAGATAGCACACATTCAGCAACATACGGGACCTAACATTTTGTTGTTGTGTTCACCCTTGTCTCAAATACTTCTGAAACATTCTCTTAATATCTCTTTTTCCCGTGTTACCCCTCTAAAGATCCTACATGCGGGCTGGAAAGATGGCTCAGCAGTTAAGAGTCCTTGCTTTTCCAAAGTTCAGTTTCCAACTCCACCCCCAAAACACACATGATTCCTCACAATTGCCTGTAACTCCAGTTCCAGAGGATCTGATGTCCTCTTTGTCCTGTGGGGGTACAACAGGTACATGCCCCACCACACCACACAGACAAAACACCCATATACATTTTTTCAAAAAAAAAAAAAAATAGGCCTCTCTTTAAAGTCGTAGAGTGTGTACTGAATCAGCTTGGTAACTGGGCTCTACCCACACCACCCGGAGAGTGATGCTTGTAAGCCCGTTTGATATGAAGCATGGTTTTGCCCAGATGACAGAGAATTGATAGTACAGGTAAGCGAATGCTAGATGTGCTGTGTATTTTTTTTTATAGTTGACTATAAATGGGAGAAGCTGCAGCAATATTTAGCCAGAGTTTGCCTGAACAGGCGGAGCATTTGTAAATGTATCGTGCAAAGCACAATAATAGAGTCGCGGGGAGTATACAGTAGCAGAAAGACTACAGGAGTAACAAAGCCAGTCTACTGGGGTTAACTGGGGTTGACTGGTTATGGGCTCTTTGGCGTGTAGGTCATCCTCTCTGGCCTTTACATGCCTTGTGCATAAATGAACGATTTAAGTCATCTAATTCTGAGGGTGTTTTAGCTCCAAGATATTCCTCACGAAAATGTACGTTCAGACCTATGCAATATTGTTTTATCTTCAAAAGGAAAATATTGCTGGAGAATTGCTGCCAGTTTTGGCATTTTAAGAAAAAGAAAAGCTCCCCTTTTCTACAGATATCAGTGTGGTATAGACTGAAGTGAGTTATTTGGGTCAGCTTGCAAAAGAATGGGGTCAAAAAGCAAAGAGCCCAGTGTGACCCACCTCGCCCTTGTTGCTCCAGTGTTGGAAACGTTAGTTTGAAGCTTTCTGTATGTCAAGATAAAGAGGGCTCTCTAGTGGAGTTTACGATATCCTTTCCTAGAAGGAAACATGCCCTTAGAAGCTGGGTTCGTGAGGGCAGACCTGAGAACAAAAGCATCAGTTGACACCATCATTGGCCTAAGTCACATCATCTGTGTGTTTCTTTTTCTCCTGGGTCAGGTTGGCACCGAATTCACAACAGTCCTGTACAATTTCATGTGTAACAGCAGCTGTGTCGGAGGAATGAACCGCCGTCCAATTTTAATCATCGTTACCTTGGAAACCAGAGAGTAAGTGGCATGTGCAGAACTGTACTTAAAAGCAACCACAGGCAGAGAGCAAAATAGAAAATCCATGTGTCCTTTGGATGCGCACTGAGAAGGCCCAGAGTCAGTGCTTTGTGCTGCAAATCCACTGTAAACACTGAAAGATCTGAGAAAGTGGAGACAGAGAAGTGTGGGTCAGAGGAGCTGGCAGGGGGGTTGGGTGGGTGGGTGGAGCCAAGGGGGCATGTAAAGTCACTTCAGACCTGAATTCTTGACATTTGACTGGAATTGTTTCTGATAGACAGTGTTTGTTTTCATGTGGCCCCAAGGTATTTAACAGTTTGCTTGAGACGTCTGAGCTACCCAAGGGGATTTTATCCAGGGACATGCCCCTGGCTTAACTCAGGTTTCCTTCAAAATATGTAGCTAAATACAGCTGTTTGGCTAATGGCTCAGAGGTTCCTTTGCCGAACAAATGGAATGTTCTTTATTCATGTTGCTTGTGGCACGCAAGCACATTCCTGCTCTGCCAGGTGCTCTCAGTCCTTCCTCTGAGCAGCCATGCTAAATGATGAGGGTGCACATAGGATAGCCGACATCATTAAAAAATAGCGGGAGAACCCCAGGGGACCTTGACACCTGTAGCGCCAACCAGTTATTCTTCTCGAATTTCCAGTGGGCAAGTCCTGGGCCGACGGTGCTTTGAGGCCCGGATCTGTGCTTGCCCAGGAAGAGACAGGAAGGCAGATGAAGACAGCATCAGAAAGCAGCAAGTGTCGGACAGCGCAAAGAACGGTGATGGTACGAAGCGCCGTAAGTAGATGTAGTGGCCAGATGGGGCAGGGTCAAGACTTCTCCAGATGTAGGAGGGCTTTGTGAGGTAATATTAGGAAGGCTGTGTGAGGAAAACTATGAGGTTCCGCAGTGAGTGTGAGCAAAGGTCTTAGAGCAAGTAAGAATATGGCTAGAGACTGCTAGAGACTGCACTGGACCGCAGAGCACACTAAAGCTTGCCTAAGCTATATATCCTGGGTAGGAGACCTTAGTATTAGGTTCCTCAGAATCTGAATCTGACACCAGTAGCATCAGCAACATCTGGAAACTCGGCATCCTCTCTCTGGACCTGCTACATCAGAAACGTCCAGTATTTTGTTTTGTAAGCCCTCTTCTTGGGTCAAATGTTCCCCAAAGCTGCAGGTGACAATTTATCTTTCAGCTATTCAGCATGAGGCTAAAGCACTGCCAGTTCTCCTCGGGGCTTTAAGGAACAGCGCCATCTGAGAACATATTTCCTCAGGCATAGTCCAGGGATATGCAGATTTAGTCTTACTGAACCTTGTCTTCACATGCTGACCAGAATGAGGCCTCAGCTACCTTATCATGTGTTCTTAAACTTGTATTCTAAGTCATTAAAAATTTTAATGGAATATTTCTAGAAACCTAGAGTACACAAGAATGGAAATGGAGATGCTCCCATTGGAAGGGGTTTGTGTGGCCCATGGTATATGACTTGCAGAGAATATTCTAGAAAGCACTTTGCATCAACATAAGCCTAATGGCACTGAAACAAGTTAGTTTGGGTTTTGGGTGGGAAACAAACAAACAAACAAAAAGGCTCCACTCTGTGCTCTCAACTGACCTGAAAATCTCTGCATGTATCAGGTAGGCTTTGAATTCACATCAACTCTCCTCCTTTAGTAGTCCATGTTCGAGAGTTCCAGGCCTAAACTTCCATGCATCGTCTTCAACAGATATTTTGAAGCCTATCATGCTGCCATCTTTTGTGAGAAGAGCTTAATCTTATTATCTATTAGTGTTCCGATGAATTCAAATTTAATTGTTCTTTAGGGGAGAACAATTGACTTGCAACTGTTGAGCATGAGTTCTTGTTTGTTTGTTTGTTTGTTTTGGATAGATTCTCTCTGTCTCCCGGATAACTCCTCATGTAGCTCAAACGTGTCACAGATTCATCTCCTCATTCCAGCTTCACTCTTGCACCTGCAGCTGCTTAGAGCAGTAGCACATCCTATCGTGGGAGTTCTATTACTAACAACTTAGTAATTTAAAGTAAGAACAGGATATCTGAATTTTGGTGAAAAGATCATTTTCACACCCTAGATCCTTTCTGATTAGAGAATCTAATTTAAAAACCTCAGTGATTCTTCACTTGTTAATTTCATTAATTCCCTTATTTTGCTTTTACCAACACAGTCCCTGTACCATGCACTTAACTCCTTAGGAGATGAATGATCTAAAGCATAAAACAGCTTTTCATAGAAAAAAAGCAGGCAGCAGGTATTCCAAATACCCCTCAGCATCCTGGGTTTGCCTTTCTGATTAACTTTTCTAGCTCTCTCCTACCTTTTTATTTTATATAAAAGCAATCAGTATCAATTAGATGGCACTTAGCTCAAACACCCTTCAACTCACAGGTTGCTGGGCTGTTTTCTGTTTAGCACGTACACTTAAATATCAGATTTGTTACATCAGCACTGCGGTAATTTCCCGGGATGAAACGTGTGTTTTCCTTCCTCCAGCGTTCCGTCAGAATACACACGGCATCCAGATGACCTCCATCAAGAAACGAAGATCGCCAGATGACGAACTGCTGTACTTACCGGTGAGTCACCCTCGAATTCTCACGGTTGCAGTTGCTTCATTTACCGTTCCTGGGATGCGCATTTATTAGATGGCCATCACCCCGTTACCTGGGGCAAGAGGGAAAGAACTCTCATTCAGCTGGAGCTGGAGCAACAAAGTTACATCGATGACATAGCTTGGTAACTTGTGAACAACAGCCATGTGTATCTTCCCAGTGCTGAAGGTTGGACATCCAAGACCAAGTTGCCCCTGGTCAGGTTCTTACCTCTGCTAAGATGCTGCCACTGTCTGCATATTGTTGTTCGCAGGATATAAACCTAGACAGCTCTCTGGGTAATCTTTTACAAGGACACTAATCCCGTCTACCAGGGCTCTACTTTCACAACCTAAATAACCTGCCAGTACTTTGGAATTTAGGATTTAAACATACGAAACAGAGACGGCAAACACATTCAATCATACTGGCAGAAAGAGGTGTAAAATGAAGCCAAGAGATGTTTCTTTTTAGATCCTGGAGCTATCCTGAACCTTGAAATATATTCTTATTGTGAGCCCTTCTGTTTGCTCTGCCATCCTATCAAAGCTACCCTCACAATAGGACATTGTCAGTCAAACATTGCAAGTCAATTCACATGTCATTACTTGTGAGCGATAAAACTTTTTGACAAGGCTTTGCCATTCCTCAATATTTGTCGAAAATAGTTCACAAAGTTGGTAACACAGCAATTAGCTGTTCATCTTTTGGGGTGCACTATGGTTATTTGACACATGTCAGCCTTAGTAACAGTCAACTCAGAGTCATCACCATGTCCATCTCTTTAAACACTAATCATTTCTGTGAGCAGGAAACACTTGTTTTTTTTTTTTTAGGGAGTGTTAAAAAGGAAACCAAGCAAGGCAGAATCCACAGTGTGAAAAGCCAGAAGGCTTGGCCCAGTTCTTATGTAAGACTATCCTTCACCTTCTGCGGGTCACTAATGAGGTCACTTGATTAGGCTATGGTTAGAGTTCACTGAGTTCTTACTACCTTGGGTCTTTGCCGTCTGATCAGCTCCTGCTGTTCTTCTTAGACTTTGTCAAATACTGGTGACCAATGTAACCCTGATGCCATGCAGGCTGATATAGGTGGCAGTGCCAGGAGCATCAGCTGAACTACTGCCCCGTGATTGGAGCTTCCGCTGCTCAGCAGGTTCAGGTGTGCATGCCTCCTTCCCAGCATTCACAGGCCCCAGAAAAATATGTCGGGAAACCTGCTGAGGTTCTTAGTCTTGTTCCTAAAGCTTGACTTAGAAACTGACTTGTGTCCTTTAGGTAAACATTACAGCTGCTAGTCTAACATTCCGTGAAAATCCAAGCGTACTGCTAGGAGGAGTCGCTGCACTGAACTGCATCTAAAAGTCAAGAAAAGTTAAAGTCAGGCTTATGGGACAAGAAAAAAATGGAATCAATTCATTTTAAGTGACCAATAGGCTGGATCCCGAGTAATTGTAAGGAAGTTTGGAACAAGTTTTCCTTCTACAGAGGGCATACATACTAGATAGGGTAGGGCTAAGGATCAATCTTGGAGAGCAGAGGCCCTAAATCAGGGTGGGCTTCTAGGACAAAAGAGATGAGAGCAGGGATAACAACAGCAGAGGAGAAACTGGCACACTCTTCTGTCTTCTGTGCTCAGGCCAATGACTAGGTACAGCAAATAAATGCATAAGATCTAGAATGCCTTGCATATTCACTCCCAGGGCCCCAAAATTCTCCAAGTACACTTCTGGCTCCATTCTAGCCCAACTATGTATCCTTGAGTAGGTGCATTTACCAATACTTAATCCTCAGACTATGAGAACTGACTGACTTCTGCCCAGTCTGCAGCTCTTCATCTTCTCGTTTTCTGGCTTTTACTTAGGTGAGAGGTCGCGAGACTTATGAAATGTTGCTGAAGATCAAAGAGTCCCTGGAGCTCATGCAGTACCTTCCCCAGCACACGATTGAAACTTACAGGCAACAGCAGCAGCAGCAGCACCAGCACTTACTTCAGAAACAGTGAGTGTGACCCTGTCCTTTCAGGAGGCATGAACGGGGGTGACTGTCGGCTGTTCATTTTCATCAGCAGTAGGCTAATGGCAGAAGCTGACATCCTGAGACTACATATAGTCCATAACAGTTTGGAAGAGCTCGTTTGGCACTTTTTCAGTATTCACTTTCTGTGTGTCTTGTAACCTTTCTTTGGGGAAATTTCACTTTTGATCTGTTATGAGCCCCATACTCATACTAATACCTACTAATGCTCTATTCTAACAACAGTGTCAATTTCAAAATCCTTCTCTCATCTCAGAGGATTGGCCTATGTATCTCTTAGATATACACAATTCTTTAGCTAAAGAATACCAAGGAGGTATGCCTACAAAGAGGTGAATTGCTTCCCTGATATGTTGACAAGGATTCTGAGACCTAGCTCTGTCCAGTGCAGGACACAGTGATAATCAAGTTTCTGTGTTTTAGTGTCTTTGCTCTGGACTGTCTTCCAGCAGTACACTTTCAAATAAAGGAGAAATATTTTACAACCTTCTTAGCATATGCATACAATCTATTCATATGTTAAGTTTTACCTTCCTACTTGGTGCTTTGATGATGTTAATTGTTTTGTGATGAAGAACAAGAAGAGAATAGTTTCTCTGAAAGAATGATAGAGTGGCCAATCAGAGCCCTGTTTATATTTATCTTTTAGTGCTTAAGTACAATCATTTGGAAGTTTAATGCATTATATTTTAGTATGGATGCTGCCAGGGCTACAGTAGGTAATGTCTAAACTACAGCTTTGATCCATTTGAGAAATTTCAAGTACTCAACCGTTCAAGAAAAAAAAAATCAAATGATAGCCAAAACTTCCTTGACTGAGAAATTATCTTTAAGTTACAGTGGTAATTTATTATAATAGTCATAAGGTTTGACTAAGAAAATCTTTAAAATAGAAATGCAAGTAAACAATAAATAATGGTTATTTCCTGAAACTGTCTTCTATTAAGGAAAGTATAATGAAAGGGGTTCCCACCTCCTTTGTTTTTAATCAATATCAATGTTGCTAACGAGGGTAGACAATAACTTTAATAGTCACAGGCAACTTCTGAGTGGTCAGCAGCAGAAGATTCAGAAATGAGCACAACCCCTTTTCAGCTTGAAGCTATTGAGCATGTAAGACCCCTTTGACTAGAAAATTTCTTACCATATCTAACGTGAAAGTTTTACAGCTCACAACTGTATCATTTGTACAGAAGGTCAATAATAAAATTCAATCAAGTCGTTTCTAGGATACTCAGAGTACTCCAAAGGAAAATCAGAACACACAGAATTCTTACTGACCACAGGGATTCTTTTGTATATCCAACATCAATATACGTTAAGATATTTAAGTACAGAGTCAATTTAGTTCACTTAAAAAGCATACAAAAGGGATCAAAGGAATAAGTAGCAAAACATAGCAGACTGAAGGGGGCTATGGAGAACTTACCTCCTTAGAGAAGTTGGTCACAAATTACTTCTGGCTCTTTGTCAAAAACTTTGACTCAGCCAACACGACACCAGTTGGATTACATTATGCACTAATGTGTTGCGTTGAGCTAGTTCTGAGACTTCAGCTCTGGGCTTTGTTTTTCTGGTTAATGGAAAAGAACTGTGTACCCAGGAACTCGTAAGCACTTCATTTTCCCGTAAAGCACAAGAATTAGGCATTTCAGGAATTGTGGAGCAGATGATCTCTTATAACTCATCAGTTTTATGATTGTATCAGAACAGCAGTAGACACCATAAGTGAATGAGCGTGGCTGACACATGATTACCTTATTATGGAGTCTGAAGCTTGCATTTCATTTCATTTTCTCATGTCATGATTGCTATCTCTCCCATGTTTAAAAGTGTAAAACCATTGGGGACTCATGAACCATGCTATAGAGCTTACCAACCACTCTTGGCAAATAAATCTGCTGCCCACTTTTTAGTGTTCTTTGAAGTGGAGTTTCTGTTTGCTAGGCTCATCAGAAAGCTAATGTGTATGTTCTGGAGAGTTATGACAAGAGGATAAAAAGTCCTGAAGTCAGTATCTAACTGCAGCCTTCGATTTATAACTCTTTTGTCCTATGACAAGCGAAGCATTTCTGCTTAGCTATCAATGCTCTTAGTGCTACCCTCCCTTTATTAAAGCACACTATAGTACTTAACTTTAAAATGAAGATGAGAAGGATGGGGCTCCTGCCTTCCTGTAGTTTGCATCAAGTGGTGACTTCCTAGCCAGAAGCCCCTTTGGAATATTAAGAAAGCTTTGCAACTATCAGTACTATATAAATTAAGGGACCATTTAAGGAACCTTCTGTAGATTACAAGAGAAAGCAAACAATCTACTATCTTTGTCTTACAGACTTTATGAACAAAGTGGCTTGATTCTGGTCAGGTGCTCATGCTACTTGTGTTTGTTTATGCTCTGTAGATGGAAACACAGGTCTTGTACCTCTGGATGAGTTTTCCACAGGTAGCTGATTGATTGGCTTGAATCGCCCCAAAGGGAGTTTTTACTATCTCTTCTTTATGGAACATACCTATCTATTCCATCTGGAAGAAAACGCACGCTGAAGTTGTGCTAGCAGAAATGGTCTAAATTTTTTTAGGGACTTATTTCCACTGTTTCACGGGAGTAGCTAAAAATGAGTAGTGAGGGGTTCGCTGCATAGCAACCTGTGTGTTCGTTTGAAACAATCATGTGCATGGTTTTGAGCTGGTATCTCACAGCTGTGAAAGCTTGTGCATGGAGAGCTAACAGACCACAAAATGAGATCTTTGCAAAATACAGATGTTTGGTTTAATTATGCCTTTACAGCATTACATGTACATGTCTCACTGATGGTTGACATGAATCCATGTAAGTTCTCTAGTTGCTACAATCTTGAACTGAGTTTTTTTTTCCAGCTCTTTTATTTTCATGCAACGCTCCAAGAAAAGGAATGAGTAGACAAAGAAAAAAATAGAAATCTAATTTCCTGGCAATCATTTGAAAAGAATAAATCAACTTATAAAGTGCCTATAATAGCCTGTGATTTCCTTTCTAAAACCTAGTACCAATTCTATGCTGGTACAGAATAAAAAAAAAAAACTTTTTTTAGAATAAAATGAAAATTTTAGGGAAAGCAATATACTTTCTACAAGGCGGCAGTAAAATATTTTCAGCTTAATTGCTTCTTTAGTCTCCCAGTCTGTTTTCTCTCTGCTTGCTTTTCACATGTGCATGGGTTTATTTATTTATTTTTGAATCCTTTGTAGTTACCTTCATGATCATAGGCTGTATGGAAGATAGATTGTTAACTGAGTTGCTATGATTCAAGTTGTTATAGATATATGTGGGCTTTATACTGTTTAAGAAGAAATTATATTTCCATTAGCATGCCCATATTAGTACAACTATACACAGTTATGTTTATTAAAGCCTGAATCTGTTGAGAGGACAAATTGGATCCATTTTTTTTCATACTAAATTCTACTCCCTCACTGTTCCATAGGCATTGATTCTTAATGTTAAGCTGCAGTTATTTGACATCTGTTTTAGCAGTCCTTAAGTTTTAGAATAAAGGCCCATATGACTTGTTTTCTCTTTGTAATTCACCCTTGCATCTTCTGACCTCAAGCCAGTGTGATTTTTTTACACTTTTTCCAAACTCTCAGCTTTCTCTGGGAACCTGCATTTTGTTTTCTATGGAGTAGATTCCATTAACTTATAATACACTCTATGACACCCTAAGATGCCCTCTCTTAGAATGTCCTGACCATAGCTCTATAGTAACAGGCCAGAGGATGCTGTGTCTGAGTGATATCTTCAAGACTGGTTCCAGCCCTTCCCACCAAGGCTGGGAAGAGCAAGCAAGCCCACAAAACAGCAAAACAGCCAATGCTAAAACCTCTTTAGAACCAGAGCTCTTTGCTAGTCTCCTTCCACTCCATCATTAAGGAGGCAGCAGTAGGAACCAGGAACACTGCAGTCAGTGTCCCTTCCCACATTACCAGCCTCTCAGCCTGATTGTCTTCATTGCCCTTTTCAGATTAAACACACATCTCTTTGCCAAGCCTGTCTCCCCACTTCCACTTCATGAATATAAGAAGACAGCATTTCCAAGACTATTAATGAGTTTTGGAGAGAGTAAAGGATGCAGATATCCAAACTGATATAAATCAGAATCACGCTTCTAAATTAGATTGTAAGGTCACCCATTTCAGAAAATTTGTTGGAAATTGCCAGCTCCACAGATTTGAAAACAATAACAACAACAAACACTGGCAGTCTCATGCTGCTTTTAACCCGACAACTATAACAAAATGCTGAATTTTTGTAGTTGCCCCAGTGCTACTTTGGAACCTCACAGCAGCATTACATTTTCAGGACAGAGGTTTACTAGCTCTGTACTAGTGATGGAGAAACACCTCAAAGGTTAATTAATTTTGATTAAATCACTTCTCCAAATACACATATCTCCTTGCAGAACTAGCCTTGCTTCTAGGTCAGAAAGTTTGAACCCATAGGCTGTGTATAATCTTGCCTTCTCTGGAACACCGGTGTAATCAGTACTTGCTGACTGTGCTGGGCTTTGCTATCAGAGATACTCCAAGCAAGGAAGGCTGAAACCTGAACCTTTCTTGGTAATGACTTGCATCCCCCATGATGTATGTTTTTGCATATTTTGTTATAAAGATACCAAGCTTTGCTGACATATTAGATTCCTGACATATTGAGGGCTAAAAAAATGACTGTGTTCCTTTGAAAACTACTAAACATATAGGATTCAAAGAGCCAGTCTGGAGAACAGTTCCCAAACAGTTCACCAGGTTGCACCTTTAGCCAAATAAAAAGGCTTATTCTTGGCATCCCATGGCATAATTGATTTCTTAATTATGCAAAAGTTGCTTTCATGAGTTTGATATATGCATTTATAGGCCAAGTTTGTGACTGAGAGGATTAAGGTATTTACCCACCTCAACCTGGGCACATTTAAAATGCTCATTAACAG